GCATATAGCTCCTCATGTCATAGAGACAGGACAGTTACCTGTTCAGTGCACACTCAAATTTACATTGTGTTGTGGTGTAGCACGGCCTCAGTTGCTCAGTCTGATGTCCTGGCCAGTAATTTAGCTTGACCGGAGGGCCACTTAGATTGTAGATGGCTGTTCCATTATGTAATTGGCCACATGCCTTCTTGCCTTTGAGTTGGTAACTGGGGATTGTGCATCCTAAATCTAGAGACTGCAATCTGAAGAAAGGCTATTTGAACAGGGCCAAATGAATGCTGCTGGAGGGTTGTGTTTGGAAGTATTGTGCCTTGAAATGGGGCTGTTGACAGACTATTGTGTCTGGTCCCTTTACATGTTCGAACCAATTTGGCTTAATAATTAGGTTCAACCTTTCATTACGTTCAAGAGTTTAATGCAGAGATAGCAATGTTCTGTATTCTCAGGGACTTCTCTGTGGGTGGCTGCAGGATATGTAAATCAGAGTTTAGAATGTCAGTTCTGGGGACCAAATCCAACCCTTCAGGGTTGTCCAGGTAGTCCCATCACTTTTTTTCTCCCAACCATCAATTGTTTAGTTGTTTCCCAGCTTATATGCAGCCCCCACAATCCTAAAAAGTCAAAATGCCTCTTGTAAGATTTAGTTAGTATCAAGTAAGAGTTTAAATTGCAACATGCTGGTGTTTTTTCTATCTTTGGCTGTGCCCCCTTGGTCCAAATCCGTTTGCTCCGCCTCTGAGCAAATGTGGTCTCTCAGCTTTCCTCCAAAATGAGATTTGGCCCTTGGACCAAATGAGTTTCACCACCCCTGCTATGAACTGCTGTCATCAGCACATAGGAAGAAAGCCTTCTGAGCTCTAGGGAGAAATCTGGGGGCATCATTTGTGAAGCCCCAGAAGTAATGTGCAAGAGATGAGTTTTGTGGCCTCTTTACAGTTTTCCAGAGCTGTTTCCTTCTTATGAGGGAAGCTGTCAGGGAAATGATTAACCAGGCCTCTGTTTAAAACTTAGCAGGATTTTTACTGCAGTAGGACAGGGGAGTGATGTAAAATTTCATTGGGGGTTATTTCTGACCTGATGGCCATAAACTATTTTTCTCTGGCTTAGGAAGCTGCTATCTCTTTATGTTATTTCTAAAAATTCCTATCCACTTTCTTGTAGGATGTTTGAATTTTTTTAAAAACCCGAAACATGTAAAACATAGCCTATAAATAATCATCCTATGAAAGAGGAAATAAAATTGCACTGTTCAAGCAGCGTCCAGCTTGGAGAAGGCTAACCTACATTGTGCTAGCAGTTATGAGCATATGGGACCATGGAGCATTGACCCCTTCCACTGATTCTTATCCTGTGTAAGACCCACCATTTGCCCAAGTGAGATTTATTACTTCCTATAGGAAACCCCCCAAGCAAGCAGAAATATTCCTTTCTGGATCAGGATAGGTCAGCCGAGCTCCACTAATGTGTCCCATTGAGAAACAAGTCCTTCCACTCATTGCTCTCAGAAGTGCTAAAGCAATTAATCTTTCTTGTGGAATGGGATCAGTGGAAGGGCAGCAGAATCAGAGGGGGCACAGCACTGTTGAATGCTGCCCTGCGTAGCCCAAATCCATTTGCATGCAAGTTCTTCTCAGTATTGTCTTGATAGTTTGTGCTCAGTCTACAAAAAAGTTCAGAAAGTAAGATAGGTAAGTGAGGGTAAATTGGAGTGCCTGCAACAAAGAGATGACCTGCTGGTGGTTTTCTTGGTCTCCTTGCCTCACCCATCACCGCAGTCTCTGTGTCCTTCAGTTCTGAATGTATTTATCTTCAAGTGCCATTACAAAATGGGGAAAGGGAATAGGCATTCATTTATTTGCTGTAGGCATCAGCCTAAATGACTGTCTCAAGTCTGTTTCTGAATGTATCCTGAAGAGGCACCTGATTTTTCACCTGAGTGGCCAGTATCTTTGTCTGTACTGTTTTTAGAGGTTGTACAGTCTGCCTGGTGGGTGCTTTGATGTTTCGCAAACACACAGGGTCAAAAGTACATCCTGTGTGAGTAACGTATCAGTGACAGTCCCCATCCCACTTAAATTGGGGTGAGTGCAGCTATTCATTTGCCAGGTGTTAATGACGGTGTGCGTTTCTCCATTTGGTATGGGCATTGTCTGTATTGTCCTTGTCTCTTGGAGAGGCACCTCTTGTCAGGCTTCTCCTGAATAATTCTGTGGAAGCAGGGGGAGAAAGAAGAGGAAGACAGCACCCACGACTACTTTCCAAGTGGTCGAATGCATAGTATGGTGAACTACCAATTGTTCATTCAGGGTCATGGAACTTTTTCCAGCCCAAGGACCAGATTCTGTTCCAGAGAAGCTCGTTGGGGCTGCTTCCAGGGTCAGCAGTGCCAAAGGCAGAAGGGGGTGGCACCAAAGCCAAAGGTGTGGTGTCAACACCAGAAATGCCAGTATATTTTGTTTACAGTCCTATGCCAGTATCTAAGCCTTGGGAAAGGTGTTTCAATCTTTTAGGATGAAAACACTTAAAAGCCAGGAATCCACCAAATGGGAGATAGTTGGGGAAGGATCAGGGAATACCTGTTGATGTGGGAAAGGAAGGCCAGACTTGTCCCTTTGACCTAGAAGTTAACACACTTGTGGTAAAGGGTTGTGCTGATTAATCACACTTAGTCCAGCTACTATGAACGAGAATCAAGTGTGACTAATTTGAGTTCGAGAGACACTGAAAATGCTTGCTTCTAGTGAGGAACAAAAGGTGCTTTAATTATAAGATGCTTAAGGCGAAGGCCTCCTAGCTCGGTGGCAGAGCCCAAGTTTTTCCTGCAGAAGGTCTTTGGCGATTTGAGTTGAAGTCTTCTGTAGCAGCTCAGAAACCTTTCCAGTCAGAATATACAAATACGGACTAGGTGGGCGGTTGGTCTGATTCAGGAAAAGGCAGATTTCATACAGTCATAAATGAAGGAGAAATGCCGGCAGACACCAGTGTGCTATTCTTCCCTTATATTGGTCAACTTAGAGATACAATTTCATTTTGTTTCATTTCATTTATGTCATATCTGTACCACCCAATAGCCAATGCTCTCTTGGTTCGTCAGTTTTATAACCCAAAATGCAACATGATAAAAACAGTGTGTTAAATCTTTAACATACAAAAGTAAACCAGTTTAACAAGCAATGTGAAGCAGGACTTTAAAGATCAGACCTTCTTGTTTATGGCCAGACTCTAAGCAGCTGCAGATACAGATTTGGGGAGCAGTAAGCTAGCTTTGCACTTCTGTATTATAGCTCTTTAGGGCTTCCTCACTTCATCCTGAAACACAGGAGCAAGGGTTTTGTGTCATCACGTGAGGAGGATTGCTGCCAACCAGGACACTCCATTTCTTAACTATTGGCTTCCAAGAACAAACCCATGTGGGGGAGGGGGCGGGGAATAGATGATACCATGGAAGAAGGCCTTCCAGGTCTCTGGGGGATGTCAGGTATGTATGTGCAAATATATACACTAATGAAAGTGTTTAGCATGCATTGTACAGTTTGGTCTGTGCATTCAAGGAGTATTTCTGCTCCTTCCTGTTGCTCAAGTGCAGAAATCCAGATTAAAGCATCCAGTTGTAAAGGCACTAGATTATTAAGACACTAGTAGCAATCATTTTTATACCTCTCTTGGTCACCAACAACTAGATTACACACTTGAGGATTGTATATGCCTCAGGCTAAGATTTTACTGGAAATGCTGACACTCAGAAGGATTAAGCTGGGGAGAGGGGAGGAAGATTGTAAATGTGTGGAAAAACTCAGGTGGGGAAGGAAATAATGTTAGCTCTTTAGCCCAGGCAGACAGCACTTGTATTTTACATACTTCCTAGTGGGCCAAATTCTCTCCTACTGCCACATTCCCTTGCATATTCCACTTTCCCTAGCAGAGCTTTATCCTGCTTTTTTCTGCCCAGACATATGTAGCACTGATTTCCTCCTTTGGGTTCTTTAGCCAATCTGCTTGCTTGCCCCTTCTAATGCCTGTCTGTCATTAGCATGAGGCAGTGGTTCAACAGTTGCCAATCAGCCAAATTTTTATCCTTGCATTTTTAATAAAAATCTTGAGTCTTTTCTTTGGTGGAATGTTGGATGTAAATCAGATAAGTACATCTTCAAGTTGACTGAAATGTGAAAAGACTGAAAATTGCTGCATGAAATTCAAGAAAACACTGAGCTATTTGGAATCCCAGTGTGGCAGAAAAAGTGACTAAGCAAATATAAAGTATCAGCACAGATTTACTTCAGGTGGTTTTGAAAAGCCACAGAAAGATAGTCTTAAGCCCCGGAAAAGTGCAAATGGTTGATCATGCACAGACAAGTTTTTCACATTCGGCGACATTCTCCAAACACCACCTTGAGGCTTGGCTTACTTTATTCCACATGCCAAGTAGCCCTTTGTTTTCTGTGCATGTTTTTTGAAGAAGAATGTGTGTTCCATAAATTGTGAACCTTTCCTGAAAAGGATGCTGTCATTTTCATTTGCCATGTGCATGTGATTTGTGACCATAAACAGAATCCTTGTACCTTCCTGGCGGAGTAACTTCTTAAATGGCTTCCTTTTCCCAGTTTGGTGTTTTCCAGATGTGTTGGTCTGTGATTCCCAATATCCCCAGCTAGCTTTTGGTCACTGCCAGGCTGACTGGACATGATGAGAGCTGCAGTCCAACTCATCCATATGGTGTCAAGTTGGAGAAGGCTGATCTGTCCATTTACTTGAAAATCCAGTAGCTGTCCTGACATTCCTGTGGCTAGCAGAATTTCTTATTTGGGTGGCATTTCTGATGCCCACTTTCTCTGCCTCAGTGGTTGTGCTGTGGGGGAGCCTTTCCTGCTGTTTTTAATGATTGGCAGTTTCATTGGAACTGTTTTACTTAATCTGTATGTTGCCCAGAAACCTCTTTTCCATAGGTCAACTGATCAATTTTGTTGTCAGACAAGCATGCCAACTCATGCCTTCCTTCTTAGGATTTCCCAACAAGTGGAAGCCAGCCGGGCCCAACTGCGTGCAATCGATGAGAGAGTCACTCTGGCGCAAGCCAAAATTGAGAAGATAAAGGGCAGCAAGAAGGCGATTAAGGTACTTGTTGCTGGTTGTGGCTGCTCTTTGCAACTGTAGCACATCCCTCGAGCTACAACTAATGGCCAAATGAAATCCGAGTCGTGGCAAGCCATGCATGAGATAATTGTGGGCCTGTGGGAGTTCACTGCTTACACGCTTGAGTCCACCTCAGACTTCGAAGAGAGATCTGAAACGGGAGCAAGCTGGTCCGAAAATGGAGGAAGCCACACCTGCAGAAGAGGCTGCATAGCAGTTGCCCTTCTGCAGGCTTCAGCCATCTTTGGATTTTCACTGGTGGCTGAAAGCTGTGGTGTGAGAGAAGAGTTCTGACCTCTGATCTGAGGCCCCGGAATGTGACGATACTTGGAATTTCCAGAGCTTCACCAGGTGGAGGTGCATTGATACAATTCTTACATTGAAACGCTCTGTCAGCTTTCCCATAAGGAGTCTCTTCCACTATGTTCATCCTTCCCTGACTTTTACTCCTTTTGGTCTAGCCACCTTCTCCAGTTTCTTCTGGCAAATCCTGGAGTATCTGTCCCCAGCCTCATTGCCCTCTAAATGTTTGGGAATACCATTGGGAATGATGGAAGAAATGATCCAGTATATTTGGAGGGCACAATATTAGGAAAGGCTTTCGTTAAGTGTTTTAGTATATTCACTGATTTTATTTAAAATACTATTTAAAATATTCATAAGCCACTTTCCAGGGCAAGAGCCCTCCCACACCATCTAGAGCCCTTCCGAGGCAGCAAAGAATTGCAAAATTGCAATGTTATGTTGTCATCCCCCATTCTGGCATCATCTTGGCTTCCAGTGGGTGTCACTAGTTAAATGATAAATGATCCATACTGGGTCCATAACTTTAAGCTAAGTTCTATGCCATCCCTCAAAGCAGTTCATTAAAACTTTTATACTCGGTTCCTTTATAGGTAAGGAAAAGAAAGCTGTGAGATGAAGTCTTCTGTATGCTGCTCCAAGGGCCTAGTTCTATATTAACATGGTGATCTAGCATGTGTTTGTGCAGCTCTTCAGGCCATCGTTAATGTGTGCTGGCAACAGGTCCTTTCTGTTTTCAGATTTCCTTTTTCTGTGTTTATCCCCCAAGGTGTTCTCCAGTTCAAAATACCCTGCTCCAGAGCGACTGCTAGAATATTCCTCCATATTTGCTGGTGCCAAGGATCTGGATGCACAGAAACGGCAGAGGCGCAAGATTCAGAGCAAACACAGAGTGTTCGATGAAAAATCCCTGCAGGTAAGAGAAGTGGAGGCGAAAGGGCAATTTGTTGCATTCCTCTAACCAAAGAAACAGAACATCTCTTTACTTTGGATTTTCAGTGGAAGAGGATGAGAAGGGCTTAACTAGGGCAGGGGTAGCATGAAGAGGCTCCAGGTAAGCAAAAGTTTTGCAGAGAATAGAGGGGTGTCATACTGATCCCCCCACCCCATCATACAGGTGAAGTACTCAGAGTGTGCATTTGTGGTCACCTGTATATAGCCTTTTGGTTGTGTGCATGTCCGTTGAGTGTGTCCTCTGGATATCTGGGACAAAACGTGCTTTGGAGCAGCTCCCTGATCCTAACCATTTCCCATGTCAGGGGCAGTGGGAAAGAAAGGAACTTGGCCAAGTGCTTCCCTTGGCCACTATCTGTTCCTTGCCTGATACAAATCCAGTGTTTTTCAAACTCTGTTCCTAGGAATCCTGGGTGCTCTTGGGAGGTTTTTGAGGGTTTCTGCATAAGGTGGTCAGCGGTTCCTGTTCACACGGTTCCCCATTTAAGTGTCTGAGCCTCTCTGAAAGAAAGCTGGCATCACATGATCTGAGTCTATGTGCATAAACCCTGAATTCTTTCCTCTTTAAAACATAAGGGTTGTAAGGCAACTGGCAGTTCACGTTGCTTTTAGGATTCCCTGATGGCTGCAGAGGAACATCTAACAAGTACACAGGAGTGGCAACAGTAGAGCTTAGCAGTAATTGTAGAGCTCTTTAAAATACAAAACCTGCCCGTTCCAGGGAAATGTTTCTTTCCCAAGAGGAGTCCAGGGTGTGATGCTACTGCTTTCTTGGGACGTAGCTAATACGAACTTCTGGGACTTGGAACAGATGGACGAATTTTCTTTCCAGACAAGGGATCACTGAAACCACTTCTGGGCTCCCACTTCCTCTCCTCCCTCACAGAGAATCCAAAAATAAAGCCAGCCTTGAATAATTCAATGCTTTAAACTTTCCTGCACTTTAATGGAAAAAGAGACTGTCACAGCAAAAGAGACATGAATATTTCAGGCTGGGCACAAAACTCATGCAGAGCTGAATCGAGAGATGTGGGGAGAGCTTACTAACCCACCGGAAGTTTGGTTGTTGCCATCTGCCCCACTCAGGCTCTTACCAGGGCTGTGCTGGTTGAAGCTACTGATGAAGTTTTTCAAAAGGAGGCTGATAAAATAAAATATGCAGTGTGCATCAGTCTCAAGAAGGTAAGACTGTGGCTCTAGTACTCATGCAGATGGGCATTCATTTCATATGGATATGTGGTCTTTGGTTCTTCCAACCCAGGAGAGCTGAAGTTCTTTCAGTCCAAGGGCTGGATTGTGGAGACTCTCTGGGGCTTCATTGCAGTTGTGGACAAGGCCCCTGGCAAAAGGCCAAAGGCAGAGCCAAAGCACCAAAAATACCAGCATGTTTTACTTTGAAATGATAACTAAACCATCAGAGAAGCATTTCAGCCTTTTAGAATGAGGAAAGCATTGTGCAAAAGTTGATAAACCATTAAACATGGCCTTCTAGGAAATCTGATCAGACCAGATTTGGCCCACAGACCTGAGGTTCCGCACCTCTGATCTAGCCCAGTACTGCTTACTCTGGCAGTGATTCTCCATGCTCACAGACAGAGGTCTTTCCAAGGGCGACTGTCCAAGATCCTTTGGTGAAGGATACTGAGGACTGAATCTGGGACCTTCTCACCCCAAAATACCCTGTCCAGGCTATGTAGAGGGCTTGTGGGGAGGCAGACTGGATCATATGGTACAACAGCACAATGGATTAGTAAGTAGCATGTTTTTGACTGCAGAGAACAGGTTTCGGGTAGTTCCAAATCAGACTCATTAGAAGGGGCTGATTTCATGAATTCCAAGGCTCAGTCCTGGCCAGGGTGAGGCATTATGGAAGCTGCACATCCTGCTGTAGCTGTTCCCCCCTTCACCTCTCATTTGGTGAATTCTGGCATTATGAATAGAGTCATGTGATGCCATCCTTTGGAGAGGGTTAGGGTTAGCACAGATGTTCTTATTTATTTATTTATTTATTTATTTATTTATTTATTTATTTTTCAAAGGTGTATGCTGGTCAGTAGCCTGACAGAACTTTCTAAGCAGCTAACAATATACAACAAATAGTTTAAGTTCAGGGGAAGCAGGGAGGAAATCAGTTGGAGTGGAGTAAGCACTTATACTCAGTTTTTAATTTCAGGTCTCGTAAAATCTGTGAAAAGGGACAGTCTTTGCCTGGTGCCAGAATGAAAGCAGAGATGGCACCAGGCAGACCTCTTTAGGAAGCCTGTTCCAAAGGCCCAAAGCCACCAAGAAGGCCCTTCTTCTAAATGCCATCCCTTTGCCTCTTTTAGGGATGGCTCTCTCTGAAGGACCTTCTTTTAGAGAAGGCTCTCTCTTCATTGGCTTGACCACTGTAGTTCCTTCCAGCACAATGTTCAGCTACCAAAACGGGAACTCCTCTCCTTGCCTGGCAAAGCCACAACATGGAAAGTCTTTTATCCCACTGACTTCATGTCTCACCTGCCTGCACAATTCAGCCCTTTTGAAGCTTAACATACCGTGCAAAACCTACAGAAGCTAACACAAATAAGTTTGAGGAACCACCCTGAATCTACTGGGATTTTTTTTCTCAACCTCAGGCTATGGATGTCTCCCAGTTAGCAGATGCAGATGCAGATGCAGAAGCTTTCCTGGAGTGTTAGCTCTCTCCCAACATATACCTGTTTTCCTTCATTTCATATTAATTCCGTAATTAAGTCAAAATGAGAAGCCTTTGAAATCTGCATTGTACTACTGAAACGTTGGATCAGAAAGCAAGACGAATGTGTAACTCATTCTGGTATCCACTGCTCTGAGCATCCTTCACAATTGTCACCAAAACTGCTCCCCGCTGTCCCCTTGTCAGAGGACAGCTCTTCGCTGTCCGGGCACAGGAGTGCCCATGGACGCATTGTAGGAAGCTCCAGGCAAACCTCTGGACCTCCATGCTTAGGGTGGTTCAAGGCCGCACTTAGCCACATGCATCATACCAGTCGCCATTCGCTGGGGATGTCTGTCCAGATTCTGTCAGACGGCCTAGCTCTTGAGTAAATCCTGTTTCAACAGAGCATGCCCTCTAACTGATGGTGCTCCATTTATCCAATATCCACCCAAAAAGTGTTGATATATTTTACTGATTCTGTTACCGGTTTTATGATTTCATAATTTGCCTGCCAAGCAAGGCGGGAGGCAAGATGGAAGAGGCACTGGAATGAGACATCTGAAGCAAGACCTCTCTGGCACTGTGGTGTTCTGACATATGTGCTGCCTGCACGGCCAGCAATTGCTTTCATTTGCTTTTAGAGTGGCGAGTTTAAAAAGTCATTTATTTCTGGTGGCTTTTGCAAGCCAAAACTCCATTTTAAATAGAAGAAGAAAACTGGGATGTGTGTGGGGGGGGGGGAGTGTAAAATCAGTCTGTCAATTTGTCTAAAATTACTTCTAGGCTGCCTTGAAGTTTGGAGCCCTCTCCTTTGAATGCGTATTATGTGTGTGTGTCTGTCGACAGAGATATTGTCTGTCCTGTTGCACACGAGTTCATAAGCAAAATGAAGGGGGGAGTTGCACAGCGGAAGCTTGGCTTGCATTTCAGTGGCTCCCGTCAAGTTCTGCGGGCCAGGCTGCCACCTGGCATGCTGTTCAGAGGGGCAAAATCTGCCTTTCACTCCAAACTGGGTGAACAGAGGGAGCAACATGTTACTAGTCCTCAGTTTCACCTGTGAAATGTAGGAGGGACAGTGCCTCTAGCTGTGGTCTGTTTCTATGGCAGGGCGGGGGGAGACAATGAAGTGTTGTAAATCAGCCACCAGCAGGGCCCTCCCAGGAGGGTCCCTGACCTTGAAAAATACCCTCTGGAAGGCAGTGCAGGATGCTCAGGGCAGGGGCAAAGTGGTTTTACCACTCACTCCCCAGGAGCCGGGTTGGGGAGGAGGCCGCATGGTCCTCCAGGGGGCCTTGTCCTTTCCCAGGCAATGCCAAGATGAGCAGCCCTCTGCAGTGCTGCAGAGGAGCAAAGGTGGCTGCGATGGCGCCTTTGCCTCTGCACGGCAGCTTGAATGCAGCTGCCGGCAGGTGTTGACAGCCACATTACTCGTTTTTTGCAGGAGAAGTTGAAGTACTTCCCAGTTTGTGTCAGCACAAAAATCCACCAGGAAGATGACGCAGAAGAAGGTCTCGGTAGCCTCCCGGGGAACATTAGTTCTCTTAGCTCCTTGCTGCTCTTCAATACCACAGAAAACCTGTAAGTCTGGCCTGGGACTGATGCTCCACGCCACCCCTGGACTGACCGAGTACCCTGCTGTTTGAATCAACCCCTCTGAATCCCAGCGTTCTTCTTAGCTTCTGCTATTTGCCAGAATTCCTAAATCCTCTTGTGAGGACTTCCCATCCCTTCATTCCTTGTTGGTCCTCTTCTCCAAACTGATTCCTCTTCTTTTTCTTCAGTTTCTATGAATATTGTGCTTTCATACTGTATCGAGCACCAGGTGGGCACTAGAAAGTGATGAGGGTTTGCCTCAGTGCATTTGAACTGCATAACAGCATTAAACAAGTCAGAAGTGAAGAAGAAAATGCAGTTTGAGCAAGTGGAAATAGGAGCAGGTTGAGAGCGTTGTCTCTGCTGTCACAAAAGCACACACTTCATGGCCCAGTGGATTGGATGTGGGCTTTGACCTGTTTGAAGAAGCAGCATTCTTTTTATCTTGGCTTTTCATCAGTATTACAGAAATAATAAACATAATACATTTTGTAAGGAAGAGAAGCTGCAGATATAATTGCAATAGTCTTCTTTTGACTTTGAGTTGCTGTTGAATCTCTATGTCCTCTAGATATTTATTGTGTATTTTATCTGAAACATTTTTAGACCTCCTTTTGAGACAAGACTTCCTCAAGCCAGTTTACCAGGTAGAATTTTTAAAAACAACAAAATATAAAATACTTTTAATGGAACAACTACTTACAGTGGAGACAATGATAGGATCAAAGCAAAATCTTGGTTCTTAGTTTTGTTTTGTTTTTTGTCCTTCAAATTCCCTCCCGCGTTTGGTAGACATTTCAGAATAAATTATGTTAGAGCTGCTGGGGAGCTCTTAACCAGCTAGATTCTTGCAAGGAGAGCTCTTCGGGTCCTCAGTGGTAGGGCATGTGCTTTGCACATAGAGGGCCTGAGCCTCAGCAGCTCCCAGAAAGAATTCTGCCTGAAGCCCTCCAGACAGGCAGGGCCAGCAGTAGTGTGCTTGAGGGACCTGTGGTTTGACTTTGGAGAAGGCAGCTTCCTGAGCTCCTAAGTGTTTGCCCCACTGTTTTGGCCTCCTGTGACATCTGCAAAAACAAAGATGAAGTCCCAATAGTCTCCCCCTGCACCAACTAACATTAACCCTGCCTGTATGTATCTGCCAGCTCTGTCTGAGGAAGGTTGACAAGGCTGTCTTCTCTCTCCCAAGCTATAAGAAGTATGTTTTCCTTGATCCCCTGGCGGGGGCAGTCACCAAGACCCACGTGGCTCTGGCAAGCGAGACGGAGGAGAAGCTCTTTGATGCCCCGCTCTCTATCACCAAGAGGGGCCAGCTGGATCAGCAGGTGAGCCATTTGGGAGCTGGGTGGGACAAAGAGAGAAGCCCATCTCTCAGGGCTGCCTAGGCCCCAAGTTTGTGCTAGAGACTTGCTGGGGAAGTCGTCAGCGCCCCACCCCGTCCCGTTAGTTGTGTTAAGGGCTTCACATTTCATTTCACAGCAGGAAGGTGTCTCCAGGTTTGCTGGGAGTAGTGGTGCCAGTAGTGTGGGCATTTAAAAACTTTTCAGTGCTTGTAATGCCCTGATGTATTTACCAAGTTCTGAGAAGAGAGGGGCCATGCATGCCCTTTCCATGTTGCAGCCGGCTGGCCAGTATCCAACACTGCTACCGCATTAGTGGAAACGAGCACTAATGCTTGCTAGTGCACCCCTCCCCCATTAACCAGAATTAGCATTTCTGTGAGCGATGTCAGCCAAGAAAATGTGTCCTTTTCTACAAGCGCTAATTTGGACTCTTTTCCAGGGCTGCTCTGACAAGCTGGGACTGTTCTGCCAAACATGCTTAGTGCTAGCAGGCTTCTAGTGTTAAAAGGTTGTCCCCAAATCTGGCTGTTCATGGTTGGTGATGCCTTTCTGTGCTGTCTGTATCTTTTTAGGTGGCAGAAAATTATTTTTATGTGCCAGATCTTGGAGAGGTGCCTGAGATAAATGTGCCATCTTACTTGCCCGACCTGCCTGGCATTGCCGCCGATCTCATGTACAGTGCTGACCTTGGGCCCGGCATTGCACCTTCTGCTCCTGGCACTGCCATACCAGACCTGCCCACCTTCAACACAGAGTCTGCAGAGCCCTTCCTACAAGGTATTTGTTTCTCCTGCTTTACCCCTGCATCAAGGAAGCCATACAAACAGGGCAGTCATGAAAAAAGCCAGGTACAAGGAAGCACCATACCCAGTCCTGTATCTGCCAGGTGGATATGAAGAGCAATTCTTCCTTCCCCCAGATCTGGTTCCTCTATTAACAAAGTACAAAATTTGCTAATTTTGTGCCCAAAACCAGTGTGTCAGAAAGGAATGGGTCTCTACTGGGCCTTGTGCTTCCGAACCTCTTCATTCGTCATCTGGAGACAGGTGAATAAATGGGCCTGCCAAGTTTGCAGATCACTAATCCATTCTAAGTACGAAGTGATGACTTCTAAACTGCAATGCTGGCGAAAAGCATGAGGCCCAGAACAGCTCTCATTTTTTAATGGTTCTCGTAAACACCTGGAAGGAGTGATTTGGGAGTGACTGGCAGCTCCCTTGTCCCTTACAAGGCTTAGGACAGGATGGGGTGCATCTCGTTGGCAGCTGATCAGTTACATGCAGCTTCATCTGCCTGTGTAAGGGCCAGGCTGTTTCCTTTCGGGAGCTAGCTCTGTTGTATTCCTTTCCCAGTCATGCGGTGGGGTGCTTTTCTGGAAACACGGGAGCGCACATTCACGGGAGTGCTAATGTGCAAATCAGGAACCGGGGACATCTGGCAGGACTGAGCATGTAGGGGGGTGTAGCATGCCACTAAATTCCTTTGTGACTCCCATGACTCCACTCTGCAGTCAGAGATAGGCAGGAGGCTGCACTTACTCTAGGAATAGCCCAGTGTGAATAACGCATGGTGTTATTGCTGTTCTCAGACTGGCAGAACTGAACACTACAGATATCCAGGGAATCGGCTAAACTGGCAGACTGAGGCTAGTATTTTCAATATGCTTTATTATTGTGACCCTTAACATTCCCTTCTGTCTTTTTCAGATGTTCCAGAGGGTGCACCCCCTCCCCCACCCCCTCCCCCACCCCCCCCCCCCCCCCCCCCCCCCCAACCTGAAGTGCCAGTCATTGTGCCACCTCCCCCCCCTCCTCCTCCTCAGGCCCCACCACTGTCTGAGGCTCCAGAGAGCGGAGAAGGGAGCCGTGCAGGTGAGGCTGAAGGACTGTGGCTGAGAGAACAGAAAAGCCAACTCTGTGATCCCTCTTGATTCTTTGGATTTCAGCAACATCTTATCTATTTTGCATTTTAGCACTGGACATCTTTTACCTGTGTTATTTATTTGCAATCCTTAAAAAAACATTGTAAGATATTCTCATCAACCAATATGGTGCATGGCGAGGAGCAGAGCAGCTTACCTGAGGCTGTCTCGTGGGTTTGTGGCAGATGCTGGAGTCAGAGCAAGGCTCTGGCATGCCCCGTGATGTTTTGGCATTCAAAAAACTACCTTTCACAGCCTGGCCTCACTCTAGCAAGAGAGTGTCTTGTCAAAAGCAGATTTAGAAAAGTGATGGCGAACCTTTCAGATACTGAATGCCCAAACTACAACCCAAACCCCACTTATCTATACCAAAGTAACAACACTAAAATAAAATGTGAAAAAATCAGTCCAAGCACATATATTCTCACTGGCTGTGAGTAGTATTTTCTAAATTAAAACCTCAATTTTCAGGTGTTATTGTACTGTTTGCACATTGCGATAATTAACTGGGGTTTTGATTCCTGTATGTGCGCTCGGTCACTCAAAGGATCAACATAACAGGGTTAGGGTTAGAAAAACTTGCTGTCCTGGCATGGTTTTGATGGGTGGAATGTGTGGGAAATGGGAAGAAACGATGAGCTGCGCACAAAAACCTACTCATGGAAGGCTGTTTCAAAATCCCCCCTTTCATTGGCATTTTACCCATATATTAGGGTTAGGGGTGTGCACCAGGGAGGGTTAGGGTTAGAAAAACAAGGTGTCCTGGCGTGGTTTTGATAGTTGGAATGTGTTGGGAATGGGCAGAAATGATGAGCTGTGCAGAAAAAGCCACTCAATGAAGGCTTTTTCAAAATGTGTTTAGAATGGGCAGAAATTATGAGCAGCGCAGAGAAAGCTATTCAAGGGAGGCATTTTCAACATCA